AGAGAGAGAGAGAGAGAGAGAGAGAGAGAGAGAGGGAGAGACAGAGGGAGAGACAGAGACAGATAGACATACAGACAGAAGACAGACAGTCAGACAGACAGACAGACAGACAGACAGATAGACATAGGTGGTAGGGGCCGGGGTGAGGATGGGAGGTGGAAGGATCTGTTGTTCTATATCACAGGACTCATTTATCCTGAACTTCGGAAAAATAAGTATCGTCCTTGTTTGTAGGAATGTTTGCTGTAAGGTTCAAGATTTCATGTGAAGAGCACAGGGGGGAATCGACCATTGTCACACACTAGAAATTGTGAGGGTGCCAATTTTCAAAGCTTGTGGAGTCATAACTTCATATTTGTTTGTCGAATGGGGAATCTGACAACAATAATAAAAAAACAGTTGAAAAGAAATACAGTTGTGAGTCAACGTACAAGCGTTCAAAATTGATACATTCACGATTTTCAGTTTGTGACCGTTTTCCCCATTAATTGGTCTTCATGTGTTTTGCTGTTGTCACGAAGACGTGTCAAAATAAAAGTCTGGCTGAAAAAATAAAACAACAACAACAACAACAACAACAACAACAACAACAACAACAACAACAACAACAACAACAACAACAACAAAAGTTTCCTGAACGAGGCTGTAGGTTGTTTTTGGACGAGTCGGAAACGTGCGTGTTATGTTGTCATGTGTGTGGTGTGCAGCTAAAGTGTGAGCGAGAACGCACTCCCGTCGAGAAGCGGAATTGCGTGTGAGTGAACTGTGTTGCAGCGTGTGACGGTTGTAGTTAGTCTGGTTAGACACTGGCCGGTGGTTAGTGTGTGTGGACAGGAAAAATTCGTGGAAGAGGATCTATAGCCGAAGAAGAATGTCTAAGTGACCTGACGTGCGTATAGATCTAGGTAAGAACCAGCTATTTTGTTACAGAGGCTTCTCACAGAACAGTATTCGAGACCGTTAAAATATAATAAAATGGATAAATAATAATGAGCGACAACACACCGAGGGTGAATTTAAATCACCGCGGAGGCTGTGTGTAAATGTTTCGGTTCGTTTTCTTCATTCTGGGCGTCTTTGCTGGCACTGTCAAGAGCCACCGAGGAGTTTGCCACACGGAAAGGGAATGTTGGTGTCATGGTTGACGGCTGTCGATTCTAATGAGACCAAAACTCTTATCAAACAACAGTTTTGTGGTGCTTCACAAAATGGGATGTATGATGACAGTCTCAAGCCTTTTGATCGCAGAGGGAAATATGCAAAGTAAGTGTCGATTAACCTTAGAAAATAAATAAATAAATAAATAGATAAATAAATAAATAAATAAATACATAAATACATAAATACATAACCAGTCATCGTCCCAGGTGCAGCTTTCTATTCCAGGGTTAGTTAGTTAGTTTAGTTAGTTTGAAGTACGGCTGTGGTCAGGCTAGTCGCCTATCAGCCGTTTGTTGCTTTCATTGCTTGTTCCTTCCTGCTCGTTGTTTTCACATTGTTATCTGTAGGTTGGTGCTCATGGGTCTGGCAGTTTGAAACCAGTCTAGGTTCATGGAGAATTTAGGTGCCTTCCAGACCATGTCAATCCTTTTCTTGAAAGCATTCAAGGATGGTGCAGACACATTTTCCGGTAGGGAATTCCAAGCGTTAACTGTGTGTACACTGAATAAGTTTTGGCGGACTGCTGTTTTCACATGTTTTTTTTGTTTAAAAATTTTTTAGGCTGTGTCCCCTAGTGTTAGAGTGTAGATCCGCGGTAAAATGTCTCCCGTTACGTTGTAAAGTCCTGTTAAATACTTGTAGCATTCAAACATGTCGCCTCTAGCTCTCCTATAGTACAACGATGGCAGATCCAATTTTCTGAGACGATCGCAGTAAACAAAGTGCTGTAGTTCGGGAATTAGTCTGGTGGCCCGACGTTGCACTTTTTCAAGTTGTTCTTCATCACCTTTAAGTCTGGGGTGCCAGACCACATTTCCATACTCTAGATGAGGACGAATGATTGATTTGTACCAAGTAGAAAGGGACACTTTGTCCAGCATTGTGAAACCTCTCCAGATCAGTGCGAGAAGATTGTTAGCTTTGTTGACTTGGATACTGACATTTTGCTGAATTTTAGATCACTATCAATATTCACACCTAGGTCTTTTTCTAGTGACACAGATTCTAGAGTGATGCGTTCACCTTTGGATGTCATCTTGTACTCACAGGGGTTTCTATTTTTACCAATGTGCATAACCTTGCACTTTTCTGCATTAAACCTCAATTGCCACGCATCAGACCAGTGCTGAAGTCTGTTCAAGTCATCCTGGAGGTTGTAAATGTAAAGTTTGAAAAAAAATGAAGGTAATAATAATAATAAATAATGAATTGCATTTATATAGAATTTCTAGCGCATATCAACTTATGCAATGCTCTAAGCGCTTAACATATTATGGATTTACAAATCAATGTTAAAGGCACTTGGTGTTACGCGTGCACACATATATTCACGCACGCACGCACTACACACACATACACACATACGTACATACGTACATACGCACATACAAACTCACAATGATCTACATCTTGGATGGATTCTGTCCAATCGAAATATGATGAAATTGCTCGCTGTGCCAGAGTAAGATCCCGTGGATCTTCACCCCCGGGCCATGCTGGAGTCAAGGACAATGAGCGGGCTGATGAGCTCGCTGGGAAAGCAAAACCAGAAGGGAAGCTGTGCCCTGACAAACCTGAAATTGTACGGTCAGTCAAGGAAAAAAGAGAAAAAGAACAAGAAGAGACGGAATACCATCATCTTGAGCGACTTCGTGAGCTTAAAATTGAATGGGGCGCCTGCAGAAGTTCAAGACTGAGTGGGAGGAGCAGAAGGCTATGGAATCAACCATTACTTGGAACCTTCAGCATCTACACACTTCGAGATGTGCTTCTTCAGGGGACGGAGCGCTTATGGGAATGCCCGTTGTGCAGTGATGTCGGCCCTTCACACAACCCAACACAACGCCTCCAGAGTAAGACAATTTATAGTTTGATAAACAATAGAGGTAAAATTGTTCGCTATTCCAGTATTTAAAAGTTTATGGTTTGGTAAACAATAGTTAAACGTTTATAGTTTGGTAAACAATAGAGGTTAAATTGCTTGCTATTCCAGTGTTCTTCCATTCGAGTTTGTCACGCAAAACTCTTGTCTCCTCCTCTCTCCCTCTCTCTCTCTCTCTGTCTCTGTCTCTCTCTCTGTCTCTCTCTGTCTCTCTCTCTCTCTCTCTCTGTGTCTCTCTCTCTCTCTCTGTCTCTCTCTCT